GAAGCATGAAGGGAACATTCTGGTCCACTCGTTCCATTATAACACCAATTGAGTTCAGGATTGACTAAAAGTGGAAAGTTTTACGGCTGTAGTTTGTAGGGTTTTCTTCAAACTAAATACATCATTATCCAGTGGTGGCAGAGAAACATGCTTCTCCCTCCCCCCCTCCCCATCCTTTATAAAATGTTTCAAATTTGCACAAAGTTTGATATATACAATAATAGCACAAAAGTTAATACTGAACTACAGTAATATTCATGTGTAAGCACGTGGCAAGTAGAGCATGCGGGATAATAATGGTAGAGGTGCCATCTGTCCATGTTTTGTCAAGGTCTTAGTGTGTGTACTGCTGCTACTATTAATTAATAAAGCAACCACATCCTAAGAGTACAAAGTTGCATATTTATTGCTTAATTTTACATTGCTTGCTATTTTGTCATGAATTATGAATGAATCATTCATTATGATCAAACTTTTGGAGATGATCCAGGTTGAAAAGGGTATCCTACATTAACTAACATACAGTGTTTATATGTTTAAGATAGTATATATTTTATATTACTATCCAGTTTTGTGAAATTGTTTACAGGTCTCCAGTAATGTCTCATGTTGTGAATTTTCATTAATTGGCATTAAATGTCACAAGAAATTAGTTTTAATTCAATCATTTCATTTTTCCCATTGTATTTTTGGTTCCAGAGAGAAATCTCTCCTCTCTCTTTAAAGGGTTGTCCATGTATAACGTTTATCAAGTAAGTAATCATCAAAAGAAGGCACAAATCTGGGGAGGCAATGGGTGAGGACAGGTACACAGAGAATGACAGAGGTGTATGAAGAACTGAACAAGAGGTTCCAGGAGCTCTATACAAAAGAACAAGAGAGTACTAGTGGCTTTACAAGATTGTAAATACTATGCTATGTATTCTCACAAACCCAATGTACCTTCTTGTATATAAATAAATAAACAAGGAGGTCACGGCCCTAGGAGAGGTGGCAGCAAACCAGGCGACCTTGGAAGGGTTCAAAATTACAAGAGATGAGGTCAAGAGGCACCTATTGGAGCTGCACGTGAGAAAGGCTGTTTCCAGAACACACAGCATTGCTCCTGTGACAGGTAAGTTACAGGCTCACCATAGCCTGTGCTACTTGGAACTTGTTCCGAGTAGCTGAATCTATAACAACAACAACAAAGGCTGTTGGGCTGGACGGAATCTCACCATGGGTATTGAGAGTGTAGGAGCACTTTGTTTGCCACTTTCCATAGTGTATAGTAGGTCACTGGAAACGAGAGACCTACCAGAAATATGGAAGCCGGCTAATGTAGTCCCAATATACAAAAAGGGTGACGGACAAGAGGCACTGAACTACAGGCCAGTGTCCTTAACTTGTATACCATGCAAGGTGATGGAGAAGATTGTGAGAAAACCCTAGTAACACATCTGGAGAGAAGGGACTTCGTGACAACCCATCAACATGGGTTCAGGGAGGGTAAATCTTGCCTTACAGGCTTAATAGAATTCTACGATCAGGTGACAAAGATTAAGCAAGAAAGAGAAGGATGGGCGACTGCATTTTTTTGGACTGTCGGAAAGCCTTTTGACACATTAGCCCATAAAAGGCTGATGCATAAGCTGGAGAAACAGGCAGGAGTAACTGGTAGGGCGCTCCAGTGGATAAGGGAGTACCTAAGCAATAGGAAGCAGAGAGTTACAGTGAGGGGTGAGACCTCAGATTGGCATGAAGTTACCAGTGAAGTCCCACAGGGCTCTGTACTCGGACCTATCCTGTTTCTGATATACGTAAATGATCTGGAGAGTATAGACTCATTTCTCTCAATGTTTGCTGACGACGCCAAGATTATGAGAAGGATTAAGACAGAGGAGGACAGCTTGAGGTTTCAAGAAGACCTGGATAAGCTGCAGGAATGGTTAAACAAATGGTTGTTAGAGTTTAACCCAAGCAAATGTAATGTAATGAAGATAGGTGTAGGGAGCAGGAGACCAGATACAAGGTATCATTTGGGAGATGAAATACTTCAGGAGTCGGAGAGACAGACCTGGGGGTTGATATCACGCCAGACCTATCCCCCTGAAGCTCATATCAAGAGGATAACATCAGCGGCATATGTCAGGTTGGCTAACATAAGAACGGCCTTTAGAAACTTGTGTAAGGAATCTTTCAGAACATTATATACCACATATGTCAGACCAATCCTGGAGTATGCGGCCCCAGCATGGAGTCCATATCTAGTCAAGCATAAGACTAAACTGGAAAAGGTTCAAAAGTTTGCCACCAGACTAGTACCCGAACTGAGGGGTATGAGCTACGAGGTGAGACTACGGGAATTAAACCTCACGTCACTGGGAGACAGAAGAGTTAGAGGGGACATGATCACCACATACAAGATTCTCAGAGGAATTGATAGGGTAGATAAAGACAAGACTTTTTAACACAAGGGGCTCACGCACTAGGGAACACAGGTGGAAATTGAGTGCCCAAATGAGCCATAGAGACGTTAGAAAGAATTTTTTCAGTGTCAGAGTAGTAGACAAATGGAATGCATTAGGAAGGGATGTGATGGAGGCTGACTCCATACACAGCTTTAAGTGTAGATATGATAGACCCCAGTAGGCTCAGGAACCTGTACATTAGTTGATTGACTGTTGAGAGGCGGGACCAAAGAGCCAGAGCTCAACCCCCGCAAGCACAATTAGGTGAGTACACTCATTTAAGGAAACGCCAATATGGCTGAACCCAACAAAACTTGACTGTTTAAAATCTGCTGGAGATAAGAAACAGCCAATGTTCAATTTTGATAAATATGAGAAAAATATTATATATATTCAGTGTACAGATAATATTTTGCACAAAACATGCAGGTTACCTTGTGGTGATTCCAGGAATCAAGGTCCTCGTGGCTGGGTCTCTGACCAGATCTCCTGGATGATGGTCTGGTCAACCAGGCTGTTGGATACGGCTGCTTGCAACCTGATGTATGAATCACAGCCTGGTTGATCAGGTATCCTTTGAAGGTATCTTCTGGTCAGCCAGTTGTGCCCCTTTTTATGTTTAGTGGAAACAATCCTGGGCCTCTGATGTTGATTGGTCTCTCTCTCTCAAAGTATCTATTGCACCTCCGCTTTTTAACGGGTGTATACTGCACATCCTGCCATGCCTTGTGGTCTCATGATGTTATTTCTGTGTGCAGATTTGGAACCAGCCCCTCTATTATTTTCCAGATAAATTATTATGCATATACTGTCTGCGCTAAAAAAAAAAAAAAACATTTAGGCTTTTGAGTCGGTCCCAGTGATTTAAAAGGTTCATTGAGTGGATTCTAGCAGTAAAGGATCTAAGCACACTCCCCAGGTTAGTAATTTCTCCAGCTTTGAAATGGGCTGTTATTGTGCAATTGTATTCATCTCCAAGACAGAACTAGAGTGAGGCTGAACTCTGATAACATGACAAGAGATTACCACTCGCCAAATGGCTTAGTAGTTCATGACTGGGCATGAAAATGTATGTAGTCAAATATAAAGTGTGTATGTAGTTTAATAACAGCAAAAATAGAATGTTTTATTGTTCTAAGCAATTAAGTGCATATTTTAGAGATGTGAATATACTTGAGCATTCTGATGTGCCACTCTACAAAATTTCTCAAGACACTAACATTACTGGAGAGAGAAAAAAAGATTGATATAAGTACTGTATGTGCAAATATCTTTGCTGCAACTCCCGCCTGGCTCGGGGTGACCTCCCCCCACCTTTCCCGGAAGATTGCTTGATGAATGCATATGAATCGTGATGCCATTGTGAGACTTCCAGGCTTCATCATGGCCAACATCAGTCACTCACAATATATATATATATATTTTGTGATAAGGAAATGCATTCAACATATTACAAAAAAAAAAAAAAAATCTTGTCGTACTGGGGGTAGGAGGGGGGGGGGAACCCTCATCACCCTCATGTCAATTATAATGAGGGTGCAGTCCAAGGGTTTACAGTGATAAATTACAGATACTGTACTTAGATATGGTAAACATTAAGAGCTTGGATTCTAAAATGTAGCTACTGTATCATGAACGGTGTTACTTTACCTGCAAATATGAACAAAAATTGAAAAAATTATACTTTTGTAAAAAAAAAAAGTTAAAAAAATTATGGGGGTCTTGGGCATGTTGAGAGAAAGCCAAGTGAGGAAGTCATTAGATCCATGGAGTAATAACGATGTAATCTTACCGACTGGTAAAGTATTGTATGGTAGAGGTCCGAAATGTTCAAGTTAATGGTTATATGTTCACCGTTTCACTTCAGATTACAAAATGTGTGTAATAAATAGATCTTTTAATCACTGTTTTTGTCAATTATGTGTTAGGTATTGTATACAGGCCCACAATGCAGTAGTACACCTATAACGCACATAAGACAGTTCCTGGCACAGCTGAAAGGAAGTCTTGCAACTCGCTCCTTTGCTGCCAATACAGTAATGTTGTTTAGAAACAGAGATAGAAAGAGAGATTCAAACATCAGTGGGAATTGCCACACTGTGATTTGAAGATAACCGCAAGCCATAATACTCAATGTTTAATTTAATTGCACCAATGCAATGGTGCCATAGGCACAATCAGAGAACACTGTATAAACATCAGAGGTCTGCGGTTGTTCAACATCCTCCCAGCGAGCATAAAAAATAGGAAACTAGATAGTTTTTTCCAAGGAGTGCCGGACCAGCCGGGCTGTCGTGGGTATATGGGCCTGCGGGCCGCTCCAAGCAACAGCCTGATGGACCAAACTCTCACAAGTCAAGCCTGGCCTCGGACCGGGCTCGGGGAGTAGAACAACTCCCAGAACCCCATCAACCAGGTATAATGATCTCATCGTTTAGTAAACAATTAAAAAATAGAGCAGAATTTATTTCCATGGGTCTAGATTATTTATTACCCTGGGGATTAATGTATGGCAATAACCGTACTTAAAGTGTTAACTGAAATATAGAATGAGAATCAGATTGACATAATATTTATTTAAACAATAGAATATACAATTGAAATGTAAGAGAAAAAATTATATAACCCTGCACAAATTTTGTTTTACAGTATTTACTTAAAATAAATGGTAAATACTAGTGATATTTAGTCACCTCATCATACTATTTGCACCATTGTAACTACTGCAATAACCACCATGTCATCTCCCATTTCCAGTCCTTTTTTTTTTCCTTAATTTGCTTGATAATATTTCTTCCTTAAGTTGCTTGATAATAGGTTGAGGTAGCCACTTGCCCTGTTACAACTTTGGGGAAGGATTCTGCTTAGTTTTTTGTAGTATATCTGCCACAAAATTGGCAGCATCAAAGGCTTCAAACTCACGAACTAATGACATTTGTGTGGCCTGTAAAGAAAAATTTGAGTTAAAATTATTTGATATCTTTTTAGATATCAGGGTCTTAATATAATGGCAACCTTAACAAATGTTTAAGAAAAGGCTATTAGACCATATTTACACAACCTGGAACAGGAAACAATAACTTGAGACTGATTTTATGTCTAAATACTAAGCCATATTTCTAAGGGAAAGGGGAGCCCCTTATAGTGCTCTAAAGCTACTGTCACTGATAGTGTACCATCTACTACTAGGTCGCATCAGCCATGGAATTCTATAGGCCTACCGAGTACCAATGCCAGAGCCTCCCCTCCCCACCCACATAGAGGTACAGGGAGCAGTGACATTTTATTTATTTATGCCACTACCAGGAAGGCAGCAAGACAAAAGAAACCACAGCTGGCTTCAAACAAGACTACAGCCTTGAGAACAGCTGAAAGAACTAGCACACGCTCATTCGTTCCACCTTCCCAACTCAAATGAGGAAAATGTGAGAAGGCTTATGAGTGTTCTTGTCAACCTGCTTATAACTGGAGCCATGTATGAGAGCTCATTTGACAGGCATTGACATCACATCACTGCTTGTATGCGAGGTTGGAATTTTCCAGGTCAAAATGAATGGCAACGAAGAAGGCCTTTGCAGCAAAGACAGTTTGAATGTAAGCCTCTAAGTCCACTAAAACATCAGTGGTGCTACGACACTTGCGAAAGCCAAATTGAGGAAGAAAAAGTGGCGAGTGTGTCTTAACACTTTCGCGCACCCCCCGCGCCACCCCTCGACAGAGCGAAATGGGCCCCAACGTGTCACAGAAGGGCGCGTCAATTCCGAAAAGTGTATACTCTCTTCAACTTTGTCACCTCAATTTTCGTTCTACGAGATTAAATTTGGTATCATTGTGTTCGCAATAAAATTCTCTACAGCACTAAATGCATATAAACTCCAAAAGCCCGGCTAATTACCCGCAGCAAGCAGAGAAAGTGCGAACGAGTTACCCGGGAGCGCGCAAACGCGATAAAATGTTTTCACTATTTTCACTCTGGTCACCTCAATTTTCATTCTAGGTCTTTCATTTTGGTCTCAATGGATTCGTAATAGAATTCTCTAGAGGAATATTAGCATATAAAATAAAAAACCTGGTCACGCTCCAACCGCCGACGAGTTGAAGACGGGCCATGCGTTAGCCATGAGTGAGCGCTCAGACGCCTTCCTGCTACACTCCCAATTCCTGCCCACATATGTGTAGTATTATTTCCTGGTGGTAATCTCAATTTTCGTGTTACAGCGCTCATTTAGGTATGAAAATGTTCCTAATAGAATTCTTCAGATGGATATGTGCATATAAGGGCCAATTGAAGAACAACATTGCCTGTACAATACGGGAAACGGGCAAATACCCATCAAGATCGTCAGTCCCATATATCTAGCAATTTCCTTCACTGTCACTGGTTGCCATCTGTGCTTTGTACTTTGCCCAGTACCTGCCTTATTTTGGGAAGCATATAAATTTGTTTCATAGGCAATATATTTCAGCAATTTTTGTGTCAGAAAGAGTTGAATGAATCCAAGAACAGTGGTAGGTACAGAAACAGTCAAGCCTGGTGTACCTGTAAAATTGTCCACAAAGGGTGCAGTATTGTCACTACACCATCCATCATCAGAATCTGTTGGTGCAGGGGTACGTGTGGTACGTGTGGCACGTCTGGCTCTAGCACGAGCTCCAGTACCGCACCGTGCACGAGTGGCAATCTCGACCTCAGACTCCTCACTGTCCTCACTTTCATCACTATCAAAATCCTCATCGGCCGTCTCTGTTTCTAAATGTTCACTACTTGCATCAGTATCAATACCAACATCAGTTTTATCACTAGATGACCCAGACAAATCGTCTAATACAGCCTGAAACTTAGAGGGAGTTAGTCTCACATGCTTGTACTTCTCCTGTACACTACTCAGCTTCTGCTTTTCACGCCTTTCTTTCGCAATTTTCTTCCTGGAAGGGCCTTGTTCATGATCACTATCCATCGTGGAGTAAGCGTAGATAGTTTCTGAAGCCGCAGTAAGAAATATAGCCACGGAAAATAGCCGAAATGTTCACACGTTTGAGACGCGAGGGGAGGCGACACCGGTCACAACAGTGGAGCGAAAACAATGGGCCGACGGCGTGTGCTGCGCCGCCTGCGGGCCACTAGGCGCAACAAAGAAAATGGGAAGACATCAGCGCGCATTTTAAAACCAGTCCCAAAAAAATCAGATAAAAACCTGATTTTTGGCGAATTTTTAAAGTGGATGACGCAATGCTGCGTCATCCCCGGCATTACCGCCAATAAACGGATGACGCAATGCTGCGTCATCCCCGAGCGAAAGTGTTAAGAACCACATCAGATGTACATTGACATCCCCATTCAAATTGACAACCATTGACAACCCATTGACAACCCCATTCAAAAAGTTTGCAAATGAAACTCGTCAGGGCAATGGGGCAAAAAATCCAAAGGGGGAATTCCCTTCAGTACCAGGTTTCAGAATAGGAACACCAATGCCTTAAGCCAGTCCTTGGGGACTGAAAACTCCTCCAAAATGCGATTATAAACATTCAGCAAATACAGAAAAATGCACTGCGGGAGATGACGAAACATCTCATAATGAGTGCTGCCCGAGCCTGCTGTTGTAGAATTGCAGAGGGTCAGGGCAGACTGCAGTTCCAATAGAAAGAAAAGATTGTTATACGGAAGCTGTAGGTGGGTGCTAAAGTCTTAGGAAGGAAATTCAAGAAGGGGCTTGAGAGTAAGGAAAGTAAGAGGAAGATGGGTACAGGAGCTAGCAGTTGAAATGTGTGAACCCAGTTCGTTTGTGACCAACACTGGATCCTTACCTTGAGGCTACCTTGAGGTACTTCCGGGGCTCAGTGTCCCCGCGGCCCGGTCGTCGACCAGGCCTCCTGGTTGCTGGACTTATCAACCAGGCTGTTAGACGCGGCTGCTCGCAGCCTGACGTATGAGTCACAGCCTGGTTGATCAGGTATCCTTTGGAGGTGCTTATCCAGATCTCTCTTGAACACTGTGAGGGGTTTGCCAGTTATGCCCCTTATGTGTAGTGGAAGCGTGTTGAACAGTCTCGGGCCTCTGATGTTGATAGAGTTCTCTCTCAGAGTACTTGTGGATCTGCCACAACAGAACCATGGAGGTGAGGGAAAGGCAAGGTGCCTGGAACAAATTTGCTTGCAATCTTATGAATTTTCTTTCAGATCTAAGGGACAGGGTTGTCAACAGTAATAGTGGAGACAAGATTTCCAACTCTCATGCTTAACTGTATGAGTAGCCCCAAGGGTCTACCTTGTGTAACTTCTGGGGGATCAATTGCCTCATAGCCCGGTCTCTGACCAGGCCAAGCGCAAGACAACATTTAATAAGGTGTCATGAAAAAGGAGGAGGGCTCAGGGAAGAGGCATATCAAACAAGTTAGAAAAAGTAACAGAGTGAATAGATTCCAGTCTGCCTTCTCAAACTACCACCAAGGGGAAGAGAGAGAGAAGGGTGAAAGAACGACGATTACATGGGTGGGGAAATGGTTACTGTTGTGGGGGTCATCAAGAACCTTCTTTATCAGGTCTATATAAATAGAAGACCAGAGATAAAGGCTGCAAGTACCCGAGTCAGCATGAGTCGGCTCTCCAGAAATCAGGAAAGACAATAAAGAGAGGACAAAAGGTTCTAGAAAGCAGCCTTGGGTATTTGTGGTAGGTAGGCATAACAAAACAAACGCCACTTGGTAATAAAACTGAAACTGAACAGGATAGACAGAACTCAACAAACTCTCAAAGAAACAAGCAAACCGTGCTGGCTGCTCCAACCCCCAGTTGGGAGACTGAGCATCAAAAGCAAAACAAAACCTCTGACCGGAGGGAACGTGCCTGGAAGCCTTGGGGGCTCACCCAGAAAATGGCATTTCATTACATTTAACGCTGGTTTTCTGTGGGAAGCCCCTTTGGCTCCCTGGAGCTACATAACCCAAGATAAGGAGAAGAGAGACTTACCCGGGAGGCACCCGCCATGCGCTCTTCAACTCAAAGTCGAAACAACTGGCTGCAACCTGCGACCCATAGCCACACACGAACGCCTAAGACCAGGAATGTTTACCAAATAACTGGGAGCCAGGACCCTGCTCGACCTCCCAAATCCCCGCGCCCGAATGTCAGCACAAGACATGTTCCTGAAGACGGGCAGCCAAAGCAGAAAACTTACCAACATTGTGGGCACGAGGATAGACCACAGGCTGGCTAGACTGAATAACCCTGTGGACGACGTGGGAATGGGACAAATAGAATAGAATAGAGGAATAGAAACCCTTCTGCCAGAAGAGAGCATGAAGCTCGCCAACCCGGCCCCCAGAGGCCAATGCCCCCCAAAAAAGTGCATTAGAAAAACAAATCTTGAACCGAAGGAGCCACCACAAACAGAGGAGAAAAGAGAGCACCCGGTCCAAGGACCAGGACAGCTTAGGCGGCGCATGAGTAGGCCAGAGGTGAGACAAAGCATGAGAAAGCTTACAGAATGGGGCAGAAGTGATATCCACCCGAATGCAAGCTGGAGCGGCTCCGCCAGTGCCGCACAATACAAGGCGACAGTATTTGGCATTAAATGACGGTCCTTAAAAGCCAAGAAAGGACAGGACAACCTGATCAGAAATAGAAGACAACCTACGAAGAGACAGAAAATGGCAAAAAGAACGGCAGGAAAGTTCATACTGTCAATGAAAAGAAGCTCACAGGTAGGATATCACCAACAAAGTCAACTTATCATCATACAAAACATCATAATAAATCCGCGTCAAAAAGACCAGATGCGAAGAACGTAGTAGTAGACGGAACCAGCTGTATACCAGACCAGTCCAATCTGTTGAAAGAAGCGAAGCCGCGGAAAATGCCCCAGATATCAACACCGAGCAAGTAGTGCCTAAAACCAAGGCTGGGCCAGCTACCAAGGAGCCACTAGGACATCTCTCGCAGTAG